TGCTATTATCACATGCCAAAAAGTCAAATTGAAATAATATTTAAGATCTTTTAATAAGTTAGTTTGATCTTTTTAATGTGCAATAGAAAATCATGGTAAAATTGTTTTTCTTTTCCATGAATTTGGTATAGTTGATCACAAAACCTTTCCTTTCTTTCTTCCTACATCTGCAAATCAATAAAATCAATAAATACAAAAACATCCACACCATTATAAAGTCAACTACGTACAACAATACACTTACATCCTAAACAACATCTTCGTCAGCAAGTTAACATATATGCTAGCATCCTAGTTTTAACCAAACGCTTATATCTACCAGTTCTCTTTATTCATTGAAGAACCCTAAACTGAATCGTACCACTTGAGCCAACCCTTGATAGAAAGTCAAATTCTGAATTAATCACATTTTAATAAGCATATGGAAAACAATGACAAGTGGTTTAATTTGACTGTTTAAAAAAATGGCATAAACCCTTGTGTTTATGGTATAAATATGTGATACGAAATCCTCCATTCCATCAACGGTGATGATGGTAACTTGGAAGATGGAAAAGAGAGTGTTTGCAGATGCAAGAATGATGTTGATGATGTGTGGGATTGTGGTGATGGTGATGGCGATGGGGAAGTTGCCATTGATTTCAGCACAATTTGAATGTGGTAATGTGTGGGGAGTTTATATGCAATGTGATCGATACGTCCGACGGGAAGGGCCAACGGTTCAACCATCTTCCCAATGCTGCAATGCACTGCGAGGCTCTAATGTCACCTGTCTCTGCCCATATTTTGCACAATATGAGGATACCTACAGCATGGACAAAGTCATCTATGTCCTCAATTACTGTGGAACGCCACTTGCTTCTGGAACCAAGTGTGGAAGTAAGTTCTTATTATTATTTTGCTTTTTATGTATTTTTTAAATAAAATAAAATCACTTAAGACATTATAATAAACTTTAACATCTTAACTAGCTAACATTTTAAATTTCAACCATTATTTATCATCACATAAAATTATATATATATAAATTCATATGTTCATGTGTTAGCTTAAACTTTTCTCCATACAAATTTATATTTTTATTAAAATAATATAATTTAAAAAAAATAAAATGGAAATATATTTGGAAGATTAATGATTATTTTGGAGTTCAGATATTATTAGTTATTGTTAAATATTGGATAAGTATGTACTTTATTGCATAATAAAATTGCTTTAATTTAATGAAAGATAAAATAGTTTTATTGCAAGATGATATCACAAACAATTTTAAAAAATGCTGTATTTTCTTTTCTTCTATAAAATGTTAGGATATGAAAAATAAAACGTAACAAAATATTTAATATATAAAAAAGAAAATAATGCATGAATTAAAATAAAGTGTAACAAAAAAATATATGTTATTAATTTACTTTTCGTGTAAATTTTTCTACGTGACATCTTTATTAAGATTTTTTATGTAAGTTTTACTTCCATATAATAATCTTATAATACTTAAATTTTAATAACTTTTACATTTAGTTAATAATTTTTACTTTTATAATTCAAACTCTTATATATAAGACTATATCAACATATTTGAATATGTCATAAAATTCACTCATAATTTAATAGATATTTATTTACACTTCAACTTCTTAAAACTTAAAAATTAAATTATTTATTTTATTTTAGTATTATTATGTACGTGTTGTTCCTTCATATATTTTTAAGATAAAGTATTTGGTATTGAGATGACTAATACTATCAAACTGTGTTTTTCAGATTACACTGCTCCGTAGCTCCTCCTCGTCAGAGGGAGACACATGCATACATATATCTAAATAAATCAGCCAAACGTGGCCTTGCATGCATTGTCATGTTTTACTTATTTTGTTATTATTATAATATAAGACATCCAGTTCCAGTTCAATGTTAATTGATACAACAGGAACATGGGTTTTCTTTAGTAATGTCATTATCATTAAGTGGGAACGACTGCATCAATATAATATTTCTATTTATAATGTCTGAAGGAAATAAATAGTGTGACACTATCAAGTAGACTATATATTTTGAATATTTTTCTTTTCATTGCGTCTTTTCCTTGTAATCCATCCAATATTCTAATAAAATATTATATAAGAATGAGTAAATTTAACATTATTTAGAACATTACCATTTGACACTATTTTTATTTTGTTTTGTTTCATTATTTAACAAAGTTAGTCCACATAGAATATCACCAATTATGACAACATATAAATCCATATAGAAAGTTATGTTTCAACTTAAAACAAAATTATATTATCTTAATCAAAATTTAAAATCAAAAGATGTATGTTTTTAATTAAATTGGTGACATTTTAATCACTTTTATGAATCTGGGTAATCAGGGTATATTTAAAAGTTTTATGAAAATAAATCAATTTTTTTATATATAGCTTTATCACGAAAAATTGTCACTCGTCACTATCAATTATTTTTTGACTTTAACTAGTTTTAAACTGATGTTTATGCGCCGGTATTTATTTATATGTTTATTAAAAAACTTAGAAGTTCAGAAAAGAAATAAATGAATATTTTTTAGTTTATAATTAAATTTTGAATATAATTAATCTGAAAATGGATTTATAGATTTAGAAAGTTAATATGTTTATAAAAATATATATATAATACACTTTCTAAAAAATATAGAATAGACTCTCTTAAATATAAAAGGATTTGTAAAAATAAGTAAAACAAACTCTCTATAAAAAAAATTATGAAGGGATTGGTCTAAGAATGTATGTTAAATTTGTCTAATCAATGTACTAACAATCTCGATTAATATGTGGTGTTAGACTCGTCTAATCATTATATAAACATACTCGTCTAATGTGTATTGTTAGACTTGTTTAATTCGTATATGGACAAATTTGTCTTATAAATATTGAAAAATTGTTCTAATCAAATAATTGATAATGTCGTCTAATGTATATTAATAGGCTCATCTAATATATATATATATATATATATATATATATATATATATATATATATATATATGAACAAACATTTCTAATTAATATTGTTAAACTTAGTGTATGAACATACTCGTCTAAGTGAGTTGCGATCAGTATATGGACATACTTATCTAATGTGTATTTTTAGACTCATAATTAATGTACCTAATGACTCGTCTAATAGTTTTTACTATCCTTATCTAATTAGTATATGAACATACTCATCTAATGTGTATTCCTAAACTTGTATAGTATTTTTTTGCTATACTCATATAATCCGTGTATGAAGAAACTCGTCTAATATGTATTGCAAAATTTATCTAATCAGTGAACAAACAAACTTGTCTAATGTGTATTAATAGACTTTTTTAATTTATGTGTGAAATAACTTATCTAATGTATAATTTTAGTGTCGTCTAATCAATTTATGAATAACTTTCAAATATGTCTTTCTAGACCCATCTAATTAATACATCAATAAACTCTTCTAATATTTTTTGTTTAGTCATTTAATAAATGTATTCATAGGCTTATGTAATATTTTTTGGTATACTCGTTTAATCAACGTATGAAATGACTTGTTTAATATTTTTTGTTATATTCGTCTAATTTATATTGTTAGACTTGTATAATTTGTTTGATATATTTATCTAATCAGTGTATGGAAAGACTAATTTGATGTGTATTACTTTACTCGTCTACTCAATACATTAATAGACTATTCTAATATATATTGTTAAACCAATCTAATTAGTATATGGACACACTCATATAATATATGTTGTTAAACTCGTTTAACCAGTGTGTATTCAATCTCTTGTAATATATATTACAATTAGCTAAATAATCTAATTATATTTTACACTTACAGTAGTTTTTTTCCTAAACAGTCAGAAATGATTTTAAAAAGAAATTATATTTATAATTTAACTGCAATTCTAAAAAGCCGGCAATCAAAAGGTTTTCGAAACTTCAAAAAAATAAACTTATGATAAAATCTATTATTTTTGTAGTGTACTTGTAACATAACAATAATGTTAAACATAATAAAATTCACTAAGTTAATTTAATTTGAATTTCTTTGTAATGGTTATAAATGATGCACATTTACTATTATTCTTAAGTAAAATAATATTTTGTGAATTAACTTAATGAATGTCATTATAATTTTCATTTAAAAATAAAAATCCACTATGATTACGTTTTCATATATTATATCACATTTAGACTTCCAATTTTGTCAAAGATATATATAATCAATGTGATTTATTATTTACCATCCTTTAGAGATAAAGAATAAATAATATATTAGTCGAATTGCTATATTATTTACTTATTTTTTTTTATTTTTCAGAAACGTCTTAATTACTTTGATATGGGTGAATCACCTTCTTTTAACAAAAAGCTATATGAAATGTAATGCCTAAACTTAAGTTTCAAATGTTATGTAATAACTTATAAAATGTAAACATCAACCAAATGCCCTTTGTACACATTAACTAAATATACATAAAGAGTTTCAGTTGTAGAAAAAGTGTTCATAATTGTTCATTTTTGTTCATTTTTATCATCAGTAATGAAATTTAGTATATAAGACAGGTTTATTTGAAATTATAGTAAATAAATTTAACAGAATATATACGATGTATTTTAAAATTATATTTAAATATTGACAGCAAATGTATATAACCATAAATTTCCAATTTATCTAAACTTGGTATGGATATTAATTGAATTAATATCAAAATTCAATTATTCTTAATATCTCACTTTATACACACAACCACATATTATTAATATAATCAAGTATTACAATTTTTTATCCTTTATTTACATTTTTTCAAATCTAATCCTTTCTTTAGATATTTTTTGAAAAAAAAAATACATTTGTTAAACTCATAACTAATTATAGAACTTATTTGTCTAACTTTTTACATTTCTTACTTCAACTGTTACTTTTTTTAAACAAAACTTAGCAACTTTTTGTAGTTGATGTTATTAATATCAGAATTAAAGTTTAGTTTTAATAATATATAATATAATAATTTAATGTAAATCTTAATTTTGTTATAGTTAATAACCTCTCATCTTTCATTTCTTTCCATCATTTTTATTTTCAGAATTCTCAAATGGAAAAGAAATAAATGCTATCAAATAGCTTATATGCTGGTGAAAACATTAATTAGTCTAATGGCTAATGGCTTTTGTCGTAATTGTGAGTGATGGAAGTGGATAGAAAAGACCTTAGTGTCTCCGAAGTGAGTTTATATATCAAATACCCAGCATTATGTTTTGCTAACACTAAAATTTTCATGGAGATGCTTCATGGAGCTCTCTTTTTTCCTCTTTTATTGTTTCTTTGCTGTTCTTGTGGCGGTGCAGCCATGGATTGTTCGGGGAACAAAATCGTTCACACCATTGTAGTTGATCAGCAAGGCAAAGGAGATTTCACAACAGTTCAAGCTGCTATTGATTCCATACAGGAAAACAACTACCAATGGGTCAAAATTCACGTAAATCCTGGCAAATACATGTAAGTTTGTAACGTTCTTCTTTCTTTAATACTTAAGTTAGCCTGTTTAAAATTAAGGTTGTTTATATCAGTAAGTTATATATATCAGTCACAGTAACTGTAGTGTTTCCTGTTTAAAATTAAGGTTGTTTATATCAGTAAGTTATATATATCAGTGACAGTAACTGTAGTGTTTTGTAACTGAACAGAGAGAAGGTTATAATATCGGAAGATAAAGCATGCATCTTTTTAGAAGGGCAGGGAAGAGAGGTAACCACCGTAACATCAAGTGGGCACCACCGCGTTGCTGGCACCCCCACCGTTGCATCAAGTAAATACAAAATAAACGACCACTTGGGTGCTACATTTGTTTGTGTTCCCTCCAATGTAATTGTTATC